GTTACCAACATCTGGTGAAAATTTCATGTCATTAGCACCTCTAGTAATATATTTACTGAGAAAAATGTTGACGTGTTCAATACTTATTTTACCCGCTATATAACAACCCAACTTCACTGTAATTGTGGTTTTATATCCTCAACAGAACTTCTGYTTCTGCTACGTTTAAATGTTTCAGAACACCTACTGCCTGTTACTGTGAGCCCCCCTAATCCCCTCAAATGGAACATGTCTTGTTTTGCGCTGAACATTGACATCTTTTTAAGTGTATTTAGTGCACATCAGAAAGGACCAATTAGATCACCAAACTGTAATTCCTCTGTGGCTACAGAAAGATTTTCACTCTAATCGAAACACCATCGGCTGAMAGTAGACTTAAGCACCACAAATCCACCTTATTGCTTATGGCTTTCTTTTTGCCTCTGTGTGTTAACATGTACGTCTGCCAGCAGAGATTATTATCTGTCAAATACAGCACCGAGGTAATCCCTGTATGTGCAGCTTTAAGTCAGTGTGACGGAGGGGAGATGGTGTTAAGCCCTGGTTGAGAAGCAGAGCAGCAATCTATAGACAGATGCTGGTTGAATCGCTCGTATCGGGCGGACATACGCAGGCGCACGTACAGAAAATTAAAGCCATCCTCTCAGGCACTCGCTTCCTGAACTGTAATCACACAGTTTCTGTTGTCAGCCTCGAGTTGTTATTATATAGCTGAGAGGCTCGGAGGGTGTGTCGGTGTGACAGTCTCAGATGGTCATCACTCTGTAAAAAACTACCAAAACAATTTGTTTTATTTTAGTAAATTAAACATTTTTGTCAATGATGTGGTTAAACTTAGTTTCTCAAACAAACAGGTACGTTTTGACTCTTTTATTGCTGACTCAGCTAATAAATAATGTGCTAACAGTGTTTCTGCTTGATTTAAAGTTTTTCTGCTCGTATGGATTTCCTGTCAGCCTCGATTCTTCTTCTTTGCTTCTCTGCTGTCAGGTCGTTTGCATTTTCCTGTCCTGTTTTTTCTAGTTGTGCTTTTACCAGGTTCACGTCTCACTTTGTTGTCAACTAGGGGCTGKGTGGTATGACCTCAAATTTATGTCGGGCATAAATTGAACCCCTTCATGGTAACGGTATATACTGTATCACGGTAGAAAATGATCATAAAAAGCAAAGATAATGTAATTTTTAGAGCATTTATTTAGCAGAAAACTGTAATCGTAATCAAACCCAGCATTTTTGCTGTAGTGCAAATGAACATAACAGAAGTACAAATGGTTTTATATATATTGCAAAATGGTTTCAACAACAAATAAAAACATTTCTCAAATTTTGAACAATATCAAAAAGTGGATGTTATAACCAGTACTTAAAGTAAAATTTGTCATTTAGACATAAAATAATTCTAAGTTGCCTAAAATGTTATAGTGTGACACATAGTCCTGTGATAAAACAATTTCACATAACTGGAATGTAAGTGTGGTGAAGCCAAATAAATGTAATATCTGCCTGCCATACAATGAGCTTCTGCCTGCTGAACTGATCCTCTGCTGCTCTGAGAGCAGAAGATGGATTTATGACTGAATGAATGTCCTTTTTTTATCATCTCTGTGGGTAACAACACATAAAAACAAGGTTTTTCTCCGACAACTTGTGTGTTAAAAACTACAGTTGTTAAAGCTTCGCTCTGCGTGACGTGCAGCGGGAGGAGAGGAGGAAATGATCCCGAGACACGACGTAACTTTCCTACAGCAGGAGGGGGAAATTTTGAGGATTTATTCTCTGTATTTGTGTTTTAAAATGCTACATTTCTTCATTTATTCTGAGATTATTTGGAACTGCTCCTGCTCAGTCGTCTCAGCACTCACAGCTCTGATGACACAGGTGTGGTGATGTAACTGACGACAGGACGGTGGAGGGTAAACCTCTGTAGGCCAACTTCAAATGGTTTCTACCGTCTATCACATATACGGCACAGCCCTATTTTCAAGATACTTAATGTGTTTTTCATGTTTTRAAAGTGGGGCAGTGTTCGCATTAATGTGTTTTTTTGAGGTTGCAAATACAAATAATTCTTTACCTCGTATTTCCCATGATTTTTTTTTCTTCTCCATCTCACCCCCCTTTTCTGTTTAATTTCAATTCTAATTAAAACATTCACAGGTTGCCTGTTAGTTTCCTGCACCGCACACTGTGTAGAAACGTTCAGGTAAGATAGAAAAGAAACACAATTATCATTCAAAAATTAACCCACTTTCAGTCCCACCTGTGGCTAACCGCTAATGAAGAAAATTCAGTGAATGTAGGTTACTGCAGCGCTCCGGTGTTTTACTGTGGGCTAACTTCAGTTTTAGTTTCAGTTCATGTTCTGATACGCAGAAGAGCTGCAAACGAGGGAAATCGTGTTTGACATTTAAACTTGGGTRTTTTTGTTCAGTTTGAGCAGAGTGTGTGTTTTTGTGCGTAATTTGCTTTTGCTGAAATAACCTTAAAAGCAAATGTTCAGCAGAAGAGAGGATCCTAAAGCCTGCTGCAAAGAAAAGAGCTGCAGGGTGTTTGGTTCGTCCAGTCGTTGTTTAAAACAACATGATGTTACCTGCTGGTTGAAGTTCCTCCCCCCCTCTCTCTGCCTCCCAGCAGAACGTGTACTACACCAGCTCCCAGCAGCTCCACCTGGGCGTTCTGAGTCCGACCATTGACGATGACGACAACAAGTGTCTGGTGGACGTGAACAGCAGGCCCAGGCTGCTGGAGTGCAGCTACGCAGCCACCAAACACATGAAGCTCACCTGGACGTTCGCTCAGGTGAGGTTCAGCCACGACGACCCCTCAGATTTCCTGATCTCTGGTTTCATGGTACGCAACGATTTGAAAAGATCACAGAGTCAAAACCACTCMGATGATAGGGGGACGTTAGAGAGGCAGCTGCCAGAAAGAAGACGMAGAAGAGATATATGGATGCAGTTAGAGAGGACATAGAGGAATGCAGAATGAGAGCCAAAATTTTAGCGCAAYCATTGGTTGCTACATCCTTGTAGCAGGAGGCTATATCTATTCCTAATCCAGCTATTAATCTGATTAGTGATAGGATGGCACCGCTAACGGAGAGGTCAGCGCTGGTAAATGAGAAGGAGACTATTCAATTGTGTTAGCAACGGAGAGGCTAGTGACTAGCATGGATAAGCAGGTGTTAGCATAGGAGAGGCTAGCGACTAGCATATATAAGCTGGTGTTAGCATTGGAGAGGCTAGCGACTAGCATGGATAAGCTGGTGTTAGCATTGGAGAGGCTAGCGACTAGCATGGATAAGCTGGTGTTAGCATCGGAGAGGCTAGCGACTAGCATGGATAAGCTGGTGTTAGCATTGGAGAGGCTAACGACTAGCATGGATAAGCTGGTGTTAACATTGGAGAGGCTAGCGACTAGCATGGATAAGCTGTTCACCTACTTTATTAGACACAAACTTTTTTTAAATAAAGAAAACTTTATCAAGAAAACTGGTTGACATAAAACACCTACACACAACGTGCACTGACAGGCGTTCCTTAGAAAGAATTTACAGTTCAGCATGACGTCAAGCATAAAGATTAAAGATAAAACATATTACTGTGAAGCAGACTGCAATGAAACTGTAGCTTTGACCAATCAGATGCCTGCTAGCTGGCGTTTGACGGCGTCTTGTGATTGGCTGATCAGAGARCGCAGCAGTCAGAAACAGGAAGCTGCTTTTGTGAGCCTTATTTGTTAGAKCATACTGTCATTCAGCCTCTTGTTTTTCACTTTTCTCCTCTTATTACAAATAAAGTCAGCTGTTTGAACATTTTCCCACCCATGGTCATGGCTTGCCTCCCAGAGWTTTTGTAAGTTAGCACAGTTTTGAAGCAAACATCAATCACAACAAGCTACCAGGGTTAGCTTACACKTGGTGAAATAAACAGGCTCATCTTGGCTAATTAATTAGCTAATATAAACTTAAAACACTACTAGCACCTGAACCAGCGTATTACTGTAGTGATCGTATTTAAGCAGCAACAGTAATAATTTAATTTTTTGTGTTCTTTTTAAATGTTTTTATGTTTTAGTTTAATATCGTGGGAATGTGATGTTTTCACTGCAGGTTATCATACGGTCAGAGTGCGATGTCAGCTCGTGTCTTCTTCCTGCAGGTTTTAATCCTTTCAGGTCTTTTGTTTAGACGTTTGCAGTATTTTAATTGGTTTTCTCCTTGTTATTCTGGATGCAGCGGTAACTTCCTGTTTGTGTCTGCTGGACCAAAGCTTTGTGGTTTTAATGTGCTGTTTTTAATAACGGAGCAGGATTCAGGCCTCTTCCTCCTCACTTTGTTTCTGACTCTGTTTTTTATTTATTTATTTATTTATTTCTGGAGCGTAGATCAGTCATCTGCCACTTTATGTCAGAGGTTTTTAAGCACATCTGCTTCTGTTGTTGGATAACGAGTTTTTTTTTACAGATTCTGACTTTTAACAACCTTCACTTGTTTTTTAATCTTCACACTTTTATGTTGTCCTTAAGTGTGAGATGTAAGTGCAGGAAGCTGGATAATTAGTAAAAAAAAAAAAAAAAAAGAAGGAACTGTTGGAGCTCCAGGCAGCTCCGCTTTGTGCGTTAGTATTTGCATTTCTCTGTGTGCTGTTTTTGTCGCAGACATCAGAGTGAAGAAGAGGCTTACACTTTATCACCATCCTGAGACTTGATGTCCGATGTCCTCGGAGGATAAAACTGTGTTTCCGTCAGCTCTCCAGTTCCTTCAGGATCTGGAGCTACTGGGCATGTTGGTGCCGGGAATCTAATTAGCATCAGACAGATTCAAAAAAGTCTCACTTTTGATTTATGTCAGAAAATAAAGAAATGAACCCGGTTAGGCAAAAACCCTGTGGAGATTACGAAAAGTTGGAAGAAGTCAAATAAGGCCCAAAGACAGAACAAACTTCTAGAGTCACAAGTTGGAACAGGAACAGTCCCAGCGGCATTTTTCCTTAAAGCTTCTTATTAAAAGCTAAAGAAGTTACGCAACGCTGAGAGTTATATTTACTTAAAAATGTTCTCTAAGCAAACTACAGTAGTCTTAATATTAAACCGCTATGATGTTATTGTCTACAACACATGTCAAACTCAAGCTCCTAAAT